ATAATTTTATATATAAATATTATACCATCCTACTGTAAGCATTGTAAATGCCGCTGATGTTCATGAAAAATTAAGTTTTAATTAGTTTCTTATTTTATTTATTTATTTATTTACTTTTTTTTTTTTTATTACCAAAAAAAGACTAATACAAAAAATATAACTTGGCAAGGTGAATAATTAATATAATTTATACCTGTAGGTAAACTTGATTCATTTTTATTTTTTTATTTTTTTTTTTATCTGCACTCTGTATTTCAATAAAATATACTACACACATGGATCCGACATGGAATATCATTAAAAATAAATTCTAAATCGAAAAAATTTGATAGAAATTGATGATCTCTTATTAATTTTTAATTCGAATGTGAAAAACATCAGTATAAAAAAAACATAGTTAGTTATTATTACTGATCTAGCATTTGTTAATGAAACGTAAAACAAATGTCTCTGTCAATTTCCTCGAACATGAGTAGAACAGAATACGTATAAACCATATAATCCTATTAAATTAATTTAACACAATCCACATAGTCAAAATTTTGTTTCCATTTATGTCTCTTCACAAGAAGGTATTTTAGTGTTTACTGTTTATGTGAACAATGAATAATAGCTTATACGAGTTATATTATCACAACACAATACAAACTGTATATATTTTAAACAATATAATTTTTCATATTTACATAGTAAATTGTTATCATTTTTTTAATAATCCTAACTCAACATAATAGTCAAATGATTTAAAATACTTTAAAAAACTCTTTCGAAAAATAATAATCGACACTTACAAAACCATTAACTGATATGAGTTGTACATAAATTAATAAAATTTGAACGGTTGAATAATTAATACGTTTTTACCAGATTGTATTATATTATATTATATACGATAGAAAAACAATGAAATACAAGAAACACAAATATTCGTTTAAATAAGTTTTACACGTGTTACATACACTCAATATGTTCAAATAATAATATGCTTAATCGTTTTAAAATATAATTACTATGCATTGAATGGTATGCACTATTCGTTTGGACGATAAAAAAGAATGTTATAAGATATTCTAATTGAGACGGATTTATTGACTGAATAGTTTTAAGAACAGCTAAACTATATTGTTTTGAAGCATATCCGGATACATTTTATAAAATACGTATTTTTCGACGTACGGGAAATTTTAAGGTTCGCCAAATGGTCTGCGGAATGGAGTTCATATTTTGACGGGAACACACGAGTTGAGTCCCGTAGAAAAGGTATACGCGAATTGCGTCCCAAAAAATTTTTGTATTTTAATTTAGGGTTCTTAAACAACTAACAAAAATAAATAAATAAATAATAATAATTTTAATTTAAACGTGCCATCAACATTCACTGTTTTAATTTTAATTAAAAATTCTAAATTTGATTTAAATGTAAACATTACTATATCATTAATAGAATAACTCGATATAAATTATTTTTTATATAGCGAATATCCGTAATTGTTAATGTACTTTTAACACTGATATTAATACTTTCTTTTAAATGTCGATGCATTATTAGTTTAGCATTGTTTAGCTGGTCTTTCATATAAATCTTGTGTACCTTTTCGCTTAAGAGAATTACTTACAATTTGTCGATTTATAACTGCTTCAGATAGTGATTGTGGTTGTGGTTGTGGTTGTAGTGTTTAGTGGTCGTGGTTGTGGTCAGTATCACTCACGCTAAGTAAAATATCATCATTTTCGTTAATTTTTAAATATGCTGTACACGTTTTAACGATACATTTCCAACGTTGAATATTATTAGCCAAACATATATGAAAACAGAACTTATATATGTCAATTATTTTCAAATGTTTTTGTTTTTCACTAATAATATTTTGCACTTCCATCTTAAAACTAAACAGTTATCACAGCTCATATAGGTATACGAAATACCACGGAGAAACCCTGAAACGAAATAAAACTCTACTACCTACCTAACAAATATATAGTGGAACACAATTCGTGTATACCTTTTTTACGGGACGCAACTAAGGTGCCCTGATTTTGACAGCGACGCGAATACGTTTTTATTGCGCACGTGATGTCTTAAATCAACTCTACGAAATGAAAATTTACGAGAAAGAAAACCCTATTTATTATGCAATCGAGAATGGTCGGATTGCTGTAAAATATACTTAGCGAAGGCAGTCGTTATAATAACATTATTCCCGTTACGCGCGTATTGTTCTGGTCTTAAAATATAGCAAAGTGTAATGTATTACGTTCTTCCGTTGCAGCGGGAGCCTTCAAATGCGCATTTATTTATCTTTTTTGTATTCCATCTTATAATAATCATACAACATTATAATTGTTTAACTGGACGACGATGACAACATTTTCGTGCGTTTCGCACCTCGGGTGAAAACCTGCAATAAAAAAATTAAAAGATCATATTATTTTTGCTGGTACAGATTTATCGAGATAAAGTATATTTCTTTTTGATACGTATAATAAAATTACTGTTTATTTATTAATTATATTTATTGATTTCGTTAAAATTATTTATTTTGAAATTAATTCAATTATTTTTCAACTAAAATTACACGAGACAAGTTCCTTAGAATTGCATAACGGACTCAATAGTTATTGATTGATAAGTAGTAAATGTTAAGGATCATAAAAATAAGCTGTACAACAGATTGAACTGACAAAAATATAAACTCAACGCTGCTATAAGAACTTTAGAAATGTAAAAGTTATCATTTACGTCCGATTTTAAGTATCTACTATTAAAAACATAGATAATAATACAACAGTTATTATTTCAAAATCCTTTGATGGAATATTCTATACAATATTAAATTCTGATGAAATAATGTAAGTGAATTATAACGTAAAAGCTAAATGTGTAATATGTGAAAAGGAAAACAAAGAAAAAAGAATCATTTCTGGAGCAATACATTTTAAGTCAAACTTTCGACTACACATGAAAGTAAATATGTAAAATATATTAACTACCGTATTATTGTATTAAGTAATTTATATTTGTATAAAATATGTAACATAATTTAGATTTATTAAAATTCACAATTAATAATATTACGAGTATTTACCTACCAGGGGTATATGCCATGGTATATATGCTATAAGTGATTAAATTTTTTGGAGATTGCACATGACTAAATTGGAAATATATAAAGCACTTTTAAAAGTGGGAGGGATTAAAAAAGCTATATTCACAACAAATTATAATTATCAAATTCCAACAAAACAAAGAAAACTAATTGAATATAAAAGTACCGTAGATAAACAAAATAAGTATAAGTAGATGAAAATGTTACGCGTTACATTGTCTACAGTTGAAGATCAAAATTTCACAAAACTATTTAAAGGTCATATCATTATAATTACTATTTTTTAGCAGTACGCAATAGTATATAACCAAAAAATAATATTGAACGGTATTATTTAATATATACATGAATTGCACTCATTTTTAATATTTTAATACATAGATTTAGATTGTAATCATGCAGTATACTCTCGAAAAACTCTTACTCGCCGTGCGAATTATGATTTTATTAAAATAAACGACACAGTTCAAAATTTGTTTGAACCGAAACAATTATTAGTTACAACAACTGCTGATATTGTAACTCATATTGTGTATCTAGTATCTTTGTAAATATTATAGCATCTTTTGTCTTGAATTTAGATACTTTGTTTTAAGTATCTCGCCCAGCCTTGGTGATACGTATATGAACTGCATGCATTTCGTTTAACGATAACTACGTGGATAATGTTGTTATTATTATTTTATATCCATGCGGTTCTTCTAGACGCGAAAAACAAAACGCGCCCGGAAAGCTAGACAAATGAGAACAGTAACGTAAACGATGATGCGCGTTAATGCCCGGAATTACGTCGTTATTCTGGTCGGAACAACCTGGGAGAAAATGAAAAACACTTTTTGAAACAAAAACAAAATATTTTACTCGCGTGCCTAACTACCGCATCGTACGTGGTTAAGTCCTGTGAACAAATCCCGCAAATCCCAATATCCCTGGTGCGAGCTCCTGATTAGCGACGCGGTTAATCGCGCGTGGGTCGATGTTAGACCGGAATATGCTGGACCAGCGGTTTAATTGCCCAACTCGAACGACACGTGGGCACCGAAATGACATTACTGCCTCGCGGTGCACACGTAAACATGTCGGTGATTTTTCTTCAAATGTTTTCTTTTATCTATAACGTTTGTGAATCGCTTTATGTGTTTTAACAAACATACAGACCGCATAAAATATAGGCGCTATAACAATTGCGATTACGAATATAATTTTGTTTCAAAACTTACGTTCATAGGTATCGGTAGCGATCAAAGGCATATTTTCGGAGGGAAAGGGCAATTGTCCCCCCCTGAATCTGTATTTAAGGAATTGATTATATGTGAGATACACTTTTCAAATTTTTTTAATGTGTGTAATTTTATAACGAAATCGAATTACACATGGCTGTGAATACTGAATTGGATTTTTTGTCGGGTCCATACTTAGTGAAAAATCACATAAAACTTAAGCGTAACTTTCAAAATACAGACAGGTGTTAAAAAAGAACTATACAAAAGTCGGTTTCAAGTAGATCTGGCATTAGATTAAAAAAAAAAAACCACAAATATTAAAGATTCACCTGATTTAAATATTATCAAAAATTTTACCTTATCCTGAATTAAAAAAAAAAATTTGAGTTGCCCCCATCCCTACGAAGTAAGTTTAAATATGTCCCTGGTAGCGATCGTGTCGTACACTTGGCGCCAAACGCCGCTGCATATCACGTGCCATTATTATTTTTGCATCGCGGCCGTACTGGTACTGTTGTTGCGGTTGATGTTGTTTTTTGTTGTTGTTCTTGCTATTGGTGGTGGAGCGCGCGCGTTTCGGGTCATGCGTGGCTTTACACAGTCGGGTACCACAGCGACCCTTAACGCGAGCGCAGTGGGCACGAGGGTTGGAGGCCAGGGGGCGAATACGCGACTCGTGGGCGACAGCAGTCGTCTCGCAGCATCCACCGAGAGAGCATTTGCACCAGACCCGCGTCAAGACGTTCGCGCCGAAACAACACTCGGCAGTGTTCGTCTTGCGACACATCACGTTCAGGTAACCATCAACATATTAGCATGATATCGAAATTGTTATTGTATCACCGCTGTACGTGATCACGTTTTATTCTGATCCCTTCCTCTCGCCGGTCCAACAAGCGACACGCTACACCGCGTTCGATCGGTTTCGATTCGATCGAGATTTGCGAGATAATAAAACGGTACACGGTCTAGGGTTCCAACTGGGTGAGCAAAGGGGGCACGTAATCCCCTAGGTAACCTAAAAGAGTTTTTTTTTTCACTCATAAAAAATAAAAAACCATTAGATTATTTTTTATCGATCGTTTAAGAATCTTAAGCTTTTCGTCAACCGAGAGAATAATATGAACAATTTACATCGTCCAGAATCGGTTATAATTGCTTGTATTAATAATTGTTTTGTGTCTTGTTTATTATATTATATTTTGTATCGATCGATACATTATCTTCGTTACTGTAGGAGATCGCTGACCGTTGCGTGTCACACGTCGTCTTGGTTATTTCCGTGGAAATAACAATAGCTCTTTATTAGTGAGTATTATATAGCAGTTCTGAGTTTAAAAATATAAATTCTGCTCATGAGAAATTAAATCATTTAGATCAAAATTACTATCCAAAAGAAACATAATTTCTTAACATTTTAGTTACACTATCGACTTCGGTCGCAACAAAAGAAAGGAGACTGTTTAAAACTTGGTTAAGGGTGATTCTCAAATAGGAGAAGAAAGATTGACAGGGTTGGCTATTTGACAATATTTGTAAGGGTATAACTATTGACAGTGAAAATTACATAAAAAATATAATAAGATAATAATATAAATAAATTATCCAAGGAAAAACAACAAAAAATTGACATTATATAGTAAAAACAATGTATAGTATTCATTTCTAATACAACAATATTATGTCATTTTGTTCCTCTAATTGTTCTAAAATTTAACTTTGTTCCTAAAACTGCAACTCACCATACATGTATCCTATTTGTATATAAATATGGCTCGGAGCATCAGAGTTGGGTCTCGAGTACCAGGGGCTAATCGCAGGTAGTGTACTAGTTGGGTCCCGGGTTTTTACAGGTACTATACTAGTTGGGTCACAGTCATCTATTTAGACCACAGGTATGGTTAAAAATGTTTTTATAGGTTTTTTTTTATAGTTTATTTTCCATTAAAATATAAACTATTATAATAGTGTTGGTAAACATATTAAAATATTAAAATTGTATTAATATTATTGTATAATATTTTTAATTATTATATTTTTATTACTTAGTATTACTAATATTTAATTTTTAATACTTTTATTACTTAATAATACTTTATATTATTGTATAAATTATAGAATTTAAAAAAAATTTGGTCCTGTGGTCTAAATAGATCAAAGACAGTCCTAAGTCTGTTAAATGGGAAGGAAAATGTTGGTATAATGTAGTACTTACCAAACAATATTCAGGAACAGGAACTAGGTTAGTGTAAATCTAAAATAATTCAGGACCCAACTAGTGTAGTAATTTTAAATTCGGGACCCGATTCGGATGCAGCCACATGGCTATGTGCCCTCTCCCACCACATTAAACATTTCTGGATCCGCCCCTGTTGGGAGGCGAGACCTGTCCAAGACACGGACGCCCTCAGCATGATGATGAGGAAACCCTTTTCGGGCGGAAACTATTCGTGGTCCTATATCGTTGTCACATCAATAACGTCTCGTATGCGCATTGTCGACTTCGGAATATTATCGCTCTCGGGTGAGTCGCCGACAATCTGTGTCGAAACGAATTATTGCTCTCGGGCATTTCCAATTTAAACACACGTATAATGCATATCTACCCCGTAGGTACAATAATGTATTACGTTATCTTCTGACGTGAACGCATATTCGACGGGGTATTTTTTTCAACATCTGAAACACGTCACTGAATCGTTAGGTACATTACAACATCGATATGATTATTATCATTATTATCGACGTTATTATTATAATAAGACCTTTTTCGGTTATTGTTGCGGCGTATAGTTACTGTTCGCATCATCCCGCGACGACCGAACGGGTCGGGTTACGCTTATCACCTCTAACGCGTCACACCATTGCATTGAAATATTATCGCCCGGGCTGACGTTTGAATTATATTGTTGTTATGTTTTACATCTCGTTCCAAATGCCTACGATTGATTGGTGCGTCGAATACAATTCGCTCGAACGAATCGATTTTTAATTTCCTAAAGCGAAGTAAACCGCAGTCATCTTTTTAATAACACACCAAAACCGTGCGGTACGCGATGAAGACGCGTAATACGAAATTAAAATATTAATAAGACGTAACACTCGTGTGAGTACCGACACTCTTCTCAATTGAACCGTTTACCGCGAAAACAACCGTAGTAACAAAACGTACGGAAGAAAATCACATCGCAACACCGTAAAACGTATTCGGTATAGAAGCTTAAAATTTGTTAATTTCCTCGAGCATCCGCGGACAAGTATTGTTTGTAGTTTGATCTATTACTGTTAATCCGGGAATATAGAAATGTTCGACGTGTTACGATTATTTCGATAGCTCATCGATTGATACATGCTAGGTGTAAGTTGTTTAATTCTAATATCGCGTGTTACGATTTATACGGCTATCGATGTTTTTAATTTCATAAAAAAAAAATGTGTCTTTTTGCGTTGTATTGAATTTTTTTTTTTTACTTCACCCTATATACTTATTGTCTCTTAACTTTTCTTTAATAATTTTTTTTCATCGTACACAAAGACTTTTTTAAATAAATATACGTTATAAATTTAGAGTAGCATTAATGGTTAACAATTTGGTTACTGATACACGTATTTAACTTAACTTGAAATATTGGTCCAATTCCAATTGTTTGTTCAAAACTACATAGATTATTCCTCAAGTATTTTTTTTCTCAAATTGTTATTTTATATATATATATATATATATATATTTATACGATGAAATGAAGAATGACAAATTTCTTCTGAAAAATTCTTCAAGAATAAATAAAGAATATAAATTGTTATTTTTGGTAAAGATAATGAATTCATATTATTCCTTTTATATTTTTAAATAAATTTTAAAAGAATCAAACGCACTCACAGTATTAAATCACTAGAATAATATAAACACTACAAATTTATTTTATATTTTGGTATTACGATTTCAACAATTGCAAATCAATAATGCTTCTGTATTAATAATAATTTGTAAAATACGTTTTTCCTAACAAAAATAAAAAATCTTTATCTATACTTAACTGTAAACACATTATGAATTAAATGGATAGTCGTTGGTACAAGTAAATCGACAAAGTAAAAATTATCTAATTTTAATTATTAATATTAAATAAAAAAAACTAATTATTCATAGCTATCTGTTTATTTTCTACGACATTTGAAATGTTATGATCTAAATATTATTATATTTTATTGTAAATAATAATAACCGTTTGGATCAAAATAAGGTGTAACCATAAGAGTTTAATTTCAATTGTAATTTTATGGCATGTTTTTAGGTATAATAATTATTATCAAAATTAGTAGCCAAATCAATTGATTAAAAAACTTTGTGATTCTATTTGTTCATGATGCTATAAAATTTCAAAAATATTCATTTTAGTATTTATCGAACGCTTATTTATTATTTAAATTTCATTAAAGTTAAAAATATATAGAGTACCTTGATTGACAGGAGTAATTGACAGGGGTCTGGACTAACGTGTGATAACGAACTATATTTCACAGTGACAGTCAGTGAATAAGAGAATCGTATATAGATGCCGAATAAATGTAATTTATTAAATAATAATCCAAATTAAAGCATAAATAGTATAAAGTGTCCTTTAATGTCCGAATTAAATCTGCGTTCAGAAATGTAATGTAATCATATTAGACATCAACTGAAAAGATTTCATATTTTACACAAAAATAATCAAGATGATTGTAGTGTTCTATACTTCTAACAAGAAAGTATTTAAAAACCAACTACCTTAAAATAGAATATTTAATTAAATGTCCCTATTCACAAACAACATTTTATAATCTGCATAACATATAAGTTTTGTATTATTAATTTCACAAGGACAAAAGCTATATACAGTTCTATATAACATATTTTACGATTTAATGCAATATTTCAGAAAAGAAAAAAATTAATAATGCTTTTCGTTTCCTAAACTTCAATTGTAGTCTACATCAAACGTGTGGAGTTATAATTTAATATAGGTAACGTATTCAATTTAAGTGTGTTAAAAGGTGAGCATTGCTTTTCAGAACAGTTAGTCTTTTATAAAATAGATTTTATAGGTACATCATTATACCTGTTAGTGGTTACATGTACTAGTAGATATTTATTAGTATTTATTTTTACATTTTTTTCCCTCAAGTATCCTGATAATATCCAAAACATATTATAATTAAAATAAAATATATTTCAACTAAAATTATACAAATACAACGTAAATACAAATACACTTAAATCACAAAAAGTAAACGACATATACAGCCGAAAACTTTCATCGCACGACCAATTCGTAGTTATATTCACCTCACCCTCATGACCATGCAGTCTTTCGTATTGCTCGAAACACAAGCAGAAACGTTGACTAGGATTTCTTCATCTCAAAATAAACACAATTACGAGTAGAAGCCACCAAAGAAGTTAAAAAACTAAAATTTAATGTAAAAGCTTATAAAAAATATTTAAACCGTAATAATAAAGAAACTTTATTATTATATTTAAATAAACTTGGAAAAAAATACTTAGGAATTTCAATTTACTTCATTTTTATTATCAATTTTAATCTTAATTATTTTTTAATTATTTTAATCATAAATTTGTATTATTTTATTTTTAAAACAGACCTATAGAATTAATCAATTTTCATAACTCATATTACATTTTAAATTATTATAAATAATAATTATTTAATTAAATATTTTTATATAATATAGTCAAAATTAAAATTGGCAACATCGCGGAGTTCTTTTATACTTAATCGTGTAGGTTTCTTTTTT